TGGGGCCTCCTCTGAACAGAGCTGTTTTGCCGCCTTCAGTCTTCTAGTTCCCTTACAAAACAGCACATAAGGAATTGCTTTCTCCTTAGCATGTATTCCTAAAATTATGTCTACATGTACAGGTAATTTAGGGATAAATTCCAACCCCAGATATTTTATTATGAGTTATAGTAAATCTTTCCACTTGTTTAGCTTTGAATTGAGCAGTGACTAGAGAGTCACTTAATGGCTAAGTAATTAAATGTTTAATGAAAATATTAGTAAACTGAAGCCCAAAGGGAGGTTAAAGAAAAGAATAATTCTTTGGCTTTTGGAGTGCAGAGATTCAGACCCACAGGGAGGCAACGTTTTACTGCTATGAGTTATGCCCCAATTACAAATAAGAGATGATGGTGAAGCTAAAGTTTAGCATAAGGTATTTTGATATTACTCCTTAGCAAATAGTCATTGATAAAAGTAATATAATGTATGTATATAACTTCAAATTTTGAAAGTGAAATTTTTTTTTTTTACATATATCAGCCTCTGAATTTTTTTGGTTCATAAAAATATCATTTACCGCCAGTGTCAGGGGGACTCCTGTAGAGGGGGGAGCCAAGTAGGTGGCAGGAATCAGGGGGGAGAGTCAAATCGGTGGGCCCGAACCTGCATCTATTGATGTTTATGAAGCTATAAAGACAAAGGCATGAGGAAGTCCCCAAGATTCCAACTATTGTCTGTGCTAGATGATGAGATGATAAGAGACCATCAGATCCCTGCAGGTCGTTGTGCCACTTCCCAATGATAGATATTTATCTTCAGAGCCAGAAGATTCTGTAAAGGAACACAGGTGTGTGGCAACTAAAATCCACTCTTCTCCTTTTAGGATTTGTTCTCATTTGGAAATACTTTCAAAATACATTTTGCTTTCATAATTGATTTTGAAAGTTTGCACATACATATTATCCTTCATGCCACACGTAGAAAAATTAACTGTTTTTATGCTTTATTAATACTTACTGATTAAATCTTCAACTTTCTAAAGAAAACAACAAAAAGCAACTCCAACCTGTGACTGTAAAAATACACATCAAACACATTAGAATGATTACCTATTGGCAGAGGGGAATGGGAATAAAATGTCTAAATAAATAAAACCAGAGAGGACTTGGCAGAGACTGATGATAATGATGTGCCCTGAACAGAGGATGAGTCCCTTAGCCCTCTAATGGCATTGTAAAATCATCAGTTAATTTGCATTTGGGGTGGAGAATGGCATATTGGAGTCTCTCTGGTATGTTAGGGTGGATCAAAGACTGAAGAGGAGTGAATTAGATGGTCTTTCCACCTGTAAACTTGTTGAAAATAGTTTGAGTAGTGAAAAGAATGTCAAATTAGGTGTCAGAAGTGAGTTCTGCTTAGGCTACTCCAACAGCACAGGCAAGAGATGAAAGCTTGGCTAAGGCAAGTGATAGCAAAGTGGGTGCAAGAGACACTTTGGAGGTAGAATCATTAAAATAGGAGATATTATTGGGTGTGAAGGGTGAAGAGGAGGGGAAAAAAATCAAGAATGACTACATAATTTGTGTTTTGGAAGACTAGGAAGATGGGGAATACAGGAGGACAAGGAGGTGTGGTAGCTGGGTAAGATGAATTCAGTTTGTGTGTATAGAGGTTGAGGTGTGTGGAGGTCAGGAAAATGCACCTCGCTTAAGCTACTGACCAGGGTAGCTTGACCAAGGACCCCAGATGCTTCTGAGCTCTGACATCCATTAGGCAGTCAGGTCCAGGTAATGCTTCCCATGGGCTGCTCCTGGCTAGTGACTGGGCTTGGCAGGAATCCTGAACAGGCCCTCCAGGCAAATTTAGAATTTTCCTCCTTTAATCAGCAGTGTTGGCTTGAGGACTCTCCATCAGCCTTGCTGAAATTTCCTAGAGCTGCATGGCAACCTAAGACTCTTCCACTCTTATCTTCCTTCTGTCTTCCTTTACAAAGGGGTGGGTGGACTAGTCTGATGGCTTTCCCAGCCTCATCGGCTCCCTCCCCATTTTCCCTCACCAGTATTTTCCCCAGGTTACCTCTTGCACATCTAATCCTGTTTTGCCATCTACTTCTCAGACAACCCCTTACTAACAGGTGTTACTGGGGTATCTATTTGGAGATACCTAGCTGACAATTACAAATATAGGTTGAGAGATTTAGAGAGGTTATATTAATTAGAGTGCAAATAGAAAAACCAGCTCAAACTGGCTTAATAAGAAAATTCATAATCTCACTCTACCAGGAGTCCATAGATAGGGTGGTTTCTAGGCACGGTGTAGTCAGGGCTCTGGCTCCATTTCTGAGATTCTTTTGGTTCTTCTCAACTCTGTGTGGGGACTTGGTCCTCAGGCAATTATTATCAATCAAAAGCCTGCTTTTCTTCCAGTCTCAGCTCAAATGTCTCACTCATACTCTGGAGGTTTACTCAGTCAACCTGGTTAGAAGCCATTTCTCTTCCTTTGAAAAATTTGAATGTCTTAGTTGAGGCTACTGTAACAATAATACTGTAGACTGGATGGTTTAAGCAACAGATATTTATTTCTCACAGTTCTGAAGGCTAGCCCAGTCCAAGATCAAGGCACTGGAAGATCCAGAGTCTGGTGAGAGCCTGTTTCCTGGCTTATAGACAGGCACCTTCTCACTGTGACCTCACCTGGTCTAGAGAAAAATCTACTCTCTCATCTCTCTTCTTATATGGGCACTAATCCCATTCATGAAGGATCTACACTGATGACCGAATTACCTCCCAAAGGCCCCCAATACCATCATACCTCCAAACAGCATCACATTGGGGGGTTAGGACTTCAACACATGAATTTTGGGGGATACACATATTCAATCTAACACTTGAATCTGATAGGTACTATTCTGTTTATCAAGATTAATTTTACATGGCTGCCTCCTCTAGACTGGAAGGGAAAGTAAAGACCATATTCTTTTATCCCTATTTAATGCTTTGCATATAGTTGGTATTTAGTGCTATTTATCCAATTAAATTTACTGTCATTTCTTTGGAGAAATGAGACATGGAAATGGAATTTAGAAAAGGAGGTACAAAGAAAAAATTTGAAGTTTATACACTGCAAGTAGTCTCATTAGATGGTGAAACTCTGTACTGATGTTGATAAACTACAGGAAGATGTAATGAGGACGTGGGTAAATGGGTCAAGATAAAATTTGATATTTGGGAATGATATATATGGCTAATAGGTCTCCAGCTATGATTTCCAACATAGTGACAGGATAGGAATCCATCTGGATTATTTCCTGAAGGTTTTGACCTAATATGTAGCCTCAGTCAAAAGCCAAACAAAGTAAAAAGAAATAAATTATACAGAGGTGAAAAATAGTAACATATCCTCATACTCAAAATTAGAAATAAAACAGAAAATGTTATCTTGTGTTCAAACTCCTGTTTGAATATTGAATGGTGAATTTCAAATAAAGAACTAGAAAAGACTGCCAAATCTATAAGATAATTAAGAGAAGAAAATAATTGCTGAGTGAAGATAGACAATGCAGCTCTTGGGTGTGGAAATACAGTCTAAGAGAAAATATAATCAAACAAGAGGCACTGTTTTAAGATGAAAACAGCATTTCTGTCAGAACTCCAAAATTCAAAAAATTGGGGGCACACATCAGTATTTGAAAAAGCAATTATAAAACAAGAAAAACAACTTTTTTCCCAACAGGCAGGCAGTTACCATATTTCCCCATGTATAAGATGCACCCTTTTTGAAAAATTTTGGGTCTAAAACCTGGGTGCATCTTATATATGGGGAAATATGGTAATTAAACTCAATATTCCAGGAGGTAATATGAACTTGAGTTTTATTGAATTCAGGGTTATTCAACTCCTACCAAATTTTAAAATTTGGGTTTGTTTAGAAATACACAGAAATATTCTGAGGTTGATGTCAGGGGAACCATCATGCCCTTCTGCCAAATACCTTGTACGCCATGAACGGACCTGTTGACTAAAATGAGTCTTTTTTAGTAATTGGTAGCCACCTGCTCCTCTTGGCTGACTGTGAATGGATCCAAAGTTATGGGCCCATTGGGTTTCAGTTTTATATGTTTCTAAAGGACTATTTATACATAACCTAGTGTTATGGACTGAATTGTGTTCCTACCCCTAAATTCCTATGTTAAAAACCCTAACCCCATGGTGACTGCATTTGGAGATAGGGCCTTCAAGGAGGTAATTAAGGTTAAATGAGGTCATAAGGGTGGGACCCTAATCTGATAGGACTAGTGACCTTATAAGAAAAAGAAGAGATACAAGACTACCTGAAAGGGCACACTGAGAAGGCACTGTCTGCAATCTGAGAGAGACTTTCCCAGAAACCAAACCAACCCTGCCGGCACCTTGATTTTGGACTTCCAGCCTCCGGAGTTGTGACAAAATAAATTTCTGTTGTTTAAGTCATGCAGTCTGTGGTATTCTGTTATGGCAGCCTGAGCAAACTAACACACTCACTGAATCACTAAAATTAAGTGAAATACTAAAATTTGCAATCCATAAACAAAAAGTAGTATATTACCAGGGAGACAGAACAGATGTAGATATAGATAAAACATACATTGACTGCTTAGTATGTGCTAGGCATTCACTGTTATATGTACTTTACAGATAAGTACTCCTTTAATCTCTGTAATTACTGAAGGTTTGTGTTATTAACTCCATTTTGCAGATGATGATACTGAAATCCCCTAAAATGAGTAATTTGCCTAATGTCATAGAACTGGGTTTCAAGGTGACTCCAGACTGTGCTTCTAATCACAACTTAGTATAAAAAAGTGCTGGTCAATAGAAATATGATGTGAACCATGTATGTATGTATGTATGTATGTATGTAATTTATAATTTTCTAGGAGGCACATTTTAGAAAAGCAGTGAGAAACAGGTAAAATTGATTTTAATAATATCTTTCAATTAACACAACATATCCAAAACATATCATTTCAATGTGTATTTAACATAAACAATTATTGAGATATTTTAATTCTTTCTTTGGTACTAAGTCTTCAAAATCCAGTATGCATGTTAAACTTACAGCACATCTCAAGCAAAATCTGTGTTATATTTCAGGTACTCGATGTGGCTGTGGCTACTTATTGGACAGCACATGTATATAAGGCACTACAGCTTAGTAAGAAGCCTGAACAAAATACTGAAAAGCTCTTGCTTTACATATATATGTACACATAGTTGGAATTCTTCCAAATTTTCTTGAAGATGTTTTATTATCACAGCACATAACTAGTGTGTGTTGCTGTGAGTTGGCTGTGGTTTTAAATTGCTCCTATTAGTATATTAATGAAAACATTTATGGAGCTGCTGTTACAGACACAATTGTGAAACATAGTTAAGGGAGCTTCTGTGACCTTGAAATTGAGTGATGATAACCAGTTTACATAAATCCATTATGTTGAATGCAGTAGAACTGCCTGCCCTCTCATGATGGTTTGGAAGTATTTCTGAAGAGGACTTTTTCTAACATTAGCCTAAGTCCAATGTTATAGAGAAGTGTTTTGTTTTTTTTTTTAATCATGCTATATTATCTTTAATTAGGGACAAAGACTCTTCCAATCATGACACCTAGAGATCATTTCACCCACTGCTCTGTTTGGCTGCTACTCTCTTGTCTCTTTCTTCAGCAATGGTGAGGCGGATACCCTTTCCATGGGGAAGAGAAATCCACGGTTTGTTGCCTTTGCCAATAACAAAAATGTTGGAGAGCCGTGTGGCAAAGCTGTTGCCATTGGCATCTTTCACATGAACCACATCAAAAGAACCAGGGTGTCTCTCTCTGTTGGTGATGAGACCAATTCTTCCCAGGTTGGCACCTCCGGTCACTATGCACAGGTTACCAGTGTCAAACTTGATGAAATCAGTAATTTTGCCAGTCTCCAAATCAACTTTAATGGTGTCATTCACCTTGATGAGGGGATCATGGTAGCGGATGGTGCGAGCATCATGGGTGACCAGGTGAGGGATTCTTTTTGTGCCCACAAAGATCTTTCTCACTTTGCACAACTTGTACTTGGCCTCCTTAGGTGTAATACAATGAACAGCAAAGCGACCTCTGGTGTCATAGATCAGACGGAAATTCTCTCCAGTCTTGTCAATGCTGATGACATCCATCAAACCAGCAGGGTAGGTTACATCAGTTCGGACCTTGCCATCAATCTTAATGAACCGCTGCATGCAGATCTTCTTTGCTTCATCTCCTGTTAGAGCACACTTCAGTCTGTTCCTTAGGAAGATGATGAGAGGGAGACATTCCCTCAGCTTGTGGGGACCGGTAGATGGACGAGGAGCAAATGCACCGGTCAGTTTATCCAGCATCCAATGCTTTGGAGCCACTACGCGCTTCAGATGCTTCTTAGGACCACGAGCCATGGCTGCACTGGGCACAGAAACAGAAGTAGTTATTTTTAAAATTTTAAAAGGTTCTTATTAAAACATAGCTAACATACAGTATTATATTGGTTTCAGGCATACACCATAGTTATTCAACCTCTATACACAACCAAAGAAGTAATCAACATTGTAAGTCCAGCAACCATTTGACACCATACCATGCTTTCACAATATTATTCACTATATTTCCTATGCTGTACTTTATATCCCCATGACTTTGTTTTATACGTGGAAATATTTACCCCTTATTCCCCTTCACCTTTTCCCCCTTTTACATTTTTCAATATTATTTTATATTAACTGCACAGTGGTTAGACATTTACATAATTCAAGTAGTGATCCCCCTCCTGACTACTCTAGTAACCACCTGGCACTATACATAATTACATATTACCATATTACTGACTACATTTCCTGTGCTTTACTTTACATCCCCATGACTATTGTAACTACCAATTTGTACTTCCTAATCCCGTCCCCCTTTTCACCCATCCCCCACCTCCCTCCCATCTGGCAACCATCAAAATGTTCTCAGTATGAGTTTGTTTCTGTTTTGTTTATTTTGTTCTTTAGATTGCACATATAAGTGAAATCACATTGCATCTGTCTTTGTCTGACACTCTGCTCAGCACAATACCCTCCAGGTCCATCCATGCAGCCACAGATGGCAAGAACCCACTCCCTTCCATGGCCGATCAATACTCCATGGTATATACTATGTACCACCTACTCTTTACCCATTCACATCCAGCCTGCCTCCACATCACGGCCACTGTAAACAATGCTGCAATGAACATATGGATGTACAAGTCACCTCGAAGTAGCATTTAAGGTTTCTTTAGAATAACACCCAGAATTGAGATTATTGGGTCTTTGTCTCTTGTTATGGCCATTGTTTAAAAGTCTATTGTGGGCCGGTTGAGTGGCGCATTGGTTAAGAGCAGGCTTGGGACACTGGCTCTGAGCAGCAGGGCCCCAGTTTGGATCCCACATGGGAACCAGTAACACTGCCCTCTACAGCTAAGATGGTGAACAACAGCTCGACTTGGAGCTGGGCTGCCATGAGTTGCTGGCGATGGCGTAGGCTGCAGCCCCTGCTGCAGTGGGCTGCCATGAGCTACCATGTGTGGCTGGCAGCCAGTGTGAGTAGCTGGCAGCCGGTGTGAGCTGCCAAGAGCAGCTGTGAGCAGCCGTCCAGAGGCCGGCGACCCATCTGCCTCACCCGGGAAGAGTGCAATGTTAATATCAACATGGGCCAGTGAAGCAATGTCCTCCACAACTAGACTGAAGAACAAAACGACAGCAACTTGTCTGCTCCCCTTCCCCTGATTCCCCAGCACTGTTCCCCTCTCCCAATTCCCTAATAAAATCTTTTAAAAAAAAAAAGTCTCTTGTGTCTGGTGTAAGTATTGCTACCCCAGCTTTTTTTTTCATTTCCATTTTCATGAAATATCTTTTTGCATCCCTTTACTTTCAGCCTGTGTCTTTCAATGTGAAGTGAGTCTCTTATGTAAGGTTCTTGTTTTCTTATTCATTCAGCAACCCTATTTTTGGATTGGAGCCAAGACAGGCCATTTGTATGGAAAAGCCACTGGAAGAGGCTTGGGTGGGTCCTCAAGTTGGGTGAGCAGGGACTCAGGGAATCACCAGGGTGGGGCAAGCAGTGTTAGCCAGGTTGATGGAGACTCAGATATGGGGCCACCTGTGTCTGCATGCCAGGAGGCAGGAAGGGCTCAACAAGGAAATAATGGATTCTGCCAGTACTTCTGTCTGGGAGAAAGCTGCCCCTCCAGCCCCCACACTGAAGCTAGACAATTCAGTTCCTCCTCATATATCCCTGGCACCTTTTGAGCTGCTGCCCCAGCACTGAAGCTCCGAGCAAGTGAGTCCATCAGTGACTAAGTCTGTGCGGGGACCCTTTAAGAGGAATGCCTGGGACCCTCGGTCTCACTCAGCCACGATCTCCACTGGTTTTCACAGCCAGAAGTCATGGAGACGTCTTTTCCTGGTACTGGAACCCTGGGCTGGGGAGTCTGGTGTGGGGCTGGGACCCTTCGCTCCTTAAGGGGGACCTCCGCAGTCCAGATATCCCTCCCGATTTTTAACTGCCACACATCGGTCTGATACCAGCTCGTTTTGTTTCTCCGCCCCTCCTACCAGTCTCAAGATGGCTTCTTCTGTATGTCCTTAGTTGTAGGACTTCTGTTCAACTAGGCTTCAGGCAATTCTCAATAATGGTTGTTCTGCAGTTTACTTGTAATTCTGATGTGGTCATGAGAGGAGACAGCACAGCATTTACCTACCCCGCCATCTTGACTGGAACTCTCAATAAAGCTGATTTTAAAAACATGTAAAATGTTAGATTGAAAGAGACCGTAGAGATTTTGTCTGGTCATCCCCAGTCTTTTCCACAATCTCTTCATCCGAGGACTCCTTTTGTTTTCATTTATGTACTCCCATATCTTGAAAGATTTTATGACCTAAATGAAATCATATACACCACTGTGATGAATAATGCAAAGAAGCGATAGAATTAAGTAGGTTTACAGACCAAAAAAATGCCTTAACCTCATTCTATTAGTTTAAAGGTTGAAAGTCAGGTCTTGTGATGCATAATCTACTTAGATACTAACTTATAATTAGCTAAAATAGCGTTCGTATTACCTAAAGGAAGCAGCTGGGTATTTGATTTATAACAACTTAACTAGTAAATTTATATCTTAACTTGTATAAATCAGAAACCCCATTCTTCTAGTGAAGAAGTACTTTTGCTGTCAGCACACCCCAATGGTATCCCTACTGCTCAAACTAGCCAGAAATCCATTCAGTCATCCTATAATCATCCATTCATTCATTCAACATGTATTGAGCACATAATATGTGCAAGGCACTGTCAGCTTTCTACCCACACTAAAAATCTCTTCACCTTTTAACAGTTGAAGTAATTTAGCAGTAAACAACTGTCCAGTTGGTAGAGGGGCAGAGAAATGGAACAGTCTGGTCCCACACCTGCGTGGACCAGAATGGGGGAGAAGCAATACCTCAAAATTGGAATTCTGCAAAGATGAAAATAGTTACATGTTTTCCAAAGCTATTGCAGAAAACATTAGTTAGTTAAGTATTCTAAGAGTTCTAGAAAAGTGCCTTTCAAATTTGGAGAATTTGTTAGTTTCTATTTTAGTAGTTTAGGGTGTGGGCCTGAGAATCTGTATTTCTAGCAAACGTCAGAGACCACCTATGAGTTGCAGTACTCTAGAAGACATTTTTAAATTGGGTATATTTACAGCACCTGGTCAGCAGAAAACCGAAGGTTACCTACATGGTTGATTTTTTTTT